ATTTTCTATTGTTTTTCTATTCTCTATATTTCATTTGTTTCTGTTTTAATCTTAATTATTCACCTCTTTCTGCTAACTTTGGTTTTAGTTTATTGTTGGTTTTTATTTCCTAGTTCTGTGAGTTTTAAAATTAGGTTGTTGATTTGAAAACTTTCTTCTTCTTATTTTCATTTTTTTAAGTTTATTTATTTATTTTGAGAGACAGCATGTGTGAGTGGGGGGAGGCATAGAGAGAGAGGAGGAGAGGGAGTCTCAAGCAGGCTCTGCAGTGTCAGCACATAGCCAATTTTGGGTCTGGAACTCACCAACTGAGATCATGACGAGCCCAAATCAAGAGCCAAATGCTTATCCAATTGAGCCACTCAGGAATCCCGTTTCTCTTCTTTTTAAATGGAGACATTTACCCATGTATTTTTCTGTCTTGGTAGGGCTTTTGCTGCGTCTCATTAGTTTGGGTATATTGTGTTTTCATTTTCATTTGTTTCAAGATAGTTTTAATTTCCCAGTGACCTATCATTTGGTCCAGTAATTGTTCAAGTGTGTTTTACTTAATTCCACATATTTATGAATTTTCCAGTTTTTCTTTTGCCTTTGATTTCTAGTTTCATTCCACTGTGGTCAGAAAAGATACTTAGTATGATTTGAGTTGTTTTACATTTCGTAAGACTCTTTTTGTGGCAGCTGTGATTTATCCTAGAGAATCTCTATATACACTTGAAAAAAATGTATTTCTGCTGTTGTTGGAGAGGGAATTCTTTATATGGCTGTTAGGTACAGAAGTCTATAGTGTTCAAATCTTCTGTTTCTTATTGAAACACTATCTGGTTGATTTATCCATTATTAAAGTCAGGCATTGAATTGAAATCTGTTATTGTGTAACTGTCTGTTTTTCCTTTCCATTCTGTCAATATTTGCTTCATATATTTGGGTGCTCTGCTGTTAGGTACGTATATGTTTATAATTATTATATCTTCCTGGTGAATTGGTCCAGTTATTATTATATAATGTTCTTCTTTGTCTTATAGTGTTGAAGTTAAATTCTATTTTGTCCAATACAAATATGGCCGTCTCTGCTTTTGGTTACCATGTATGTGACCATCATTTTCCATCTTTCACTTTCAGCCTGTGTATGTCCTTATACCTAAAGTGAGTCTCTTGTAAACAGCTGTGTTCCATTTTATACTCATGTTTTTACTCTCTTTAAGATATGGTTCATGAAGCCCCTTAAGCCTTTGTAATAACTATGAAAAATAACTTGAGTCTCCTTTGAACGAATAACTCTATACATTTTTTAATGTTTTAGATACCAACTAGCACAAACCTCAAATATAGAAAAGAACTTTGTTACTTTAGTCATGAAATCCATTTGGCTGTAAGATCTGCTTTCCTAGCAGTGAATACAAATGTGTACCAGCCAGGAAGCATTAGTAGATCGCAAAGCCTGACATGGTACATAAAGAGCCAACTATTCACTTATGCAAATTAGAATAAATTGATGGAATAAATTAAAGCTAATTTCATACACCATACACTTTTTAAAGAGGGAGTCATTGCATAATGTAATTTGCTTCTTTTTCCTTCATTATGCATTTTAACACCATGGTATTGGCATTATGTTTTAATCCAACTTGGCCAAAAGTTTGATATTTTTGTTTACTATGTGTTTATTTAATATGATATTCTAATCTGTGTTAGCACTAAAATGTGCAAAGCATAAATGCAAATGAGGATATATGATGGCTAGATACAAATCTTGCCCTCATTGAACTTATAAGGAGACATACATATCATTAATTGATGTTGTGGTAGTGATAGTTACATGTTAGTAGGGCAAGGTGGGGGAGGGTACTCACATAAATGTGATAAGAACATCCATCTGCATAATTATATTGGCATGCATCCATTCCCAATTGGATTCTAAATCACACACACACACACACACACACACACACACATACATACATACACACACACTTAAGAAAAGTCATAAGGCAGACTCTGTCCTCTAGGAGTCACCTTGTTCACCAGGCCAGTTGAGAAGCTGATAAACCTGACACAAAGTAACATGTAACATACCCTACAAAAGGCTGCTTATCTTACCTACTTTGCTTTCCATACCCGTTTCCCAGGGCCAAAATTCCCACATGCCCAAACACAGAAAGAGAACTTCATATATATCTTGACAAAATTATAAATTCCTATTTAGAATACCCACATCTGAATTTTCCAGTAAACTATCCACTTATGCAACTTTTAAAATAATACAAAATATCTGTATGCTATCAAATTTAACTAACATTTATTAATTAAAATTAGCAGCTGAGTTAAATTAACATTGGTTTTATTTATAGCAGAGAAATAGGATTATAAACAGAACCAGTGTCACTTCATAGCTTTGTTAATTCAACCTATTCTCATTTGATCCCCCAAACACTTTTACTCACGGAGAAACAGGGAACAATAAGTTTGTAAAGGGAACTTGGCATTTAGAGCTTTCTTTCATATCACTCCCAGTGCAACTTACCTTCAATTAGTATTCAGTGAAATAAAGGACGGTTAACCAGCCCTCTCTGTTTGCAACTACCTTCCCATAAGAAATATAAAGACACATTTACACTGTGTTGTTTCTTACTATTTACTGTTAGGCTGGATACCATGAAGCCTCCTGAGTGTTTAAGAATTTGCTACCTGGGGGCTCCTGGGTGGCTCTGTAGGTTGGGGATCCCACTTTGGTTCAGGTCATGATCTCGCAGCTCATGGGTTTGAGCCCTGCTTCGGGCTCTCTGCTGTCAGCATGGAGCCCACTTCAGATCCTCTGGCCCCCTCTCTCCACCCCTCCCCTACTCATGTGCTTGCTTGCTCTCTCTCAAAAAAAAAAAAATAAAGACATTTAAAACTTTGAAAAGAAAGAATTTATTTGACATTACTAGATACATTAAAGATGGATTTAAAAATGTTATCCAACTCGGGGTGCCTGGGTGGCTCAGTCAGTTAAGCTTCTAACTTCAGCTCAGGTCATGAGGTCATGATCTCATGGTTTGTGAGTTCGAGCACTGCATGGGGCTGTGTGCTGACAGCTCAGAGCCTGGAGCCTGCTTCACATTCTGTGTTTCCCTGTCTCTGCCCTTCCCCCACTCATGCTCTGTCTCTCAAAAATAAATAAACATTAAATTTTTTTTAATGTTATCCAACTCAAAATATACTTATAGTTACTCTACTACTAAATATAGTAAACTCCACACAATGACATATTAGCATTCTTTTCTGGTGAAATATCATGGAAAAGACCATTCCATTAGAGAAGACATTTTCACAAATAATGTGAGGTTCAACATTTTTGTACAATATTACAATTATATGATTTTGATGATACAGTCATTTTGGAAAATAGTGTAGCAATAACACAAAATTAAACACGCTTTTGCCACATGATCAAGCAATTCCACTCTTAGATATTTACCTGAGACATATGAAAATAGATGTCTATGCAGAAAGTATGTATGCCAACTATTCATAATAGCCAAATATGAATAGTACTATTCATAGATACTAAAAATTAGAAGTAACCCACAGGTTGCTTACTTTTATTGATGAATAGATCACAAACTGTTATATCCATATCATGGAATAGTACTCTGCTATAAAGAGAAACGAAATGGATGAATCTCAGAAACATAATGCTAAGTGAATTAACTCAAACACAATAGTCGATGTACCGTATGATTCTATTTAAGTGAAATTCTAGAAAAGACGTGATTATAGTGACAGCATGTTCATGGTTGCCTGGAGCCTTGGGGGCAGGAAGGGATAAGATGCAAAGAGGCTCACGGAAGCCGTTCAGGGTGAGGAATCAGTGGTGATGCTTGCATAGTAGTATACAATTACTAAAAGAGATGGGGTGCCTGGGTGGCTCAGTTGTTTAAACAAGTACTAACAGCATTAAACTGCCCCCTTAAAAGTGGTGAATTTTATTATCTGCAAATAATGCCTTAAACAAGAAAGAAGAAGGAATAATATTAAATGAATTCATCTTACATACGTGTTACGAATTCCACAGAATAGTGCATGTTCTATGAAAGAACATGGTCTGTAGTTTATTTCAAATCAAAAAGAAGGGATGGAAAGAAATATATATATATATATATATATATATATATATATATATATAGCTAAAAGTACAATAAAACTTTAAATCTGTAACAGGTAGTGTGTGGCATTTTATACATGTTGTATAAAAACTTGTATGTACAAGAAAGAGTTGGCTCATGGTTATGGATAATTTTTGTAGGTTGCAAATATGTTTAAAATTCCTTTGTTAGTGAACTGTAATTGTTAAGGTATTTCAAAAGGTGAATATATTCCTCACTTTGAGCATATTGAGCTAAAGAAGTGTCCTGTTAAGTCTCTATTGCTGAAATGAATGATGGTCAATGATTAGCAACAGCATTTATTTATATTTAAACTCTACTTGCTCTCATGCTAAACCACATTCTAATCATTCATCGTAATGAATTTTGAGACAGTCCAAAAAACGCTAAGATAGCACTTTACAAGAAGAATATTTGGTCTCCTGGAGAACAAAACCGTTAAGTCCACCTGAGATAAATGGATTATATTCATTTCAAGATTGCCTGAAGGTTTGAATTCACAATCCATCTCTCTTGCAGGTGAATCAGATTTAAGTAATCGAAAGCTTGTAAGTGCTGTTGCTTTTTCATCTTTCCTGCATCTAAAATGGTAACAGTCAGCAATAGCTTTTTCCCCTCATAGTTTCCTAGTTCCAGGTAGGGTTTGTTTATAACAAAAAGTGAACTGTAGCTTTCCATAAGTAGTATTTAGTATCACACTTTAAATCTGTTTGCCCATTGTTTCTCTGTTCTCCTTGGGATGCATTAGGATATATTTCCTTACTTAACATGCATCCAAACATGTATGGAGCAGTGAGAGTTCATATTTGTTATTGATCCATTCTCCTTTTAATCACAATTACTCTGTTTCAGAAACTACACTGTCGTTAATTCCAAAATCATCGTGGTCACAATAAGGCCTGAACCCAAAACAACTGATTCATTCCTGGAGATAGAACTAGCTCATTTGGCTAATGTAAGTATTATCCATGTGACGTCGACTTGCTTATAGAACTTACCTTTAAAGATGAGTTAGCAGTCACACATTTGATAATATCAGAACACATTTTCTGGACTTTTTAGAGTTGTAAATGGAGTAATTTGTTATGAAGATTATATTATATAGAAACAAAATGTCAGATTATCCTATGCTTTTGTCCATAATAAAACTCTCTTCAGTTTATCCATGATAACAATTATTAAATTGTTTATCCACGTACACATCTTTTTTGGGCTTTGAGCTAATCAGCAGAGGAGACCCAATGAATAAGAACCTGTCTCAAGTGTGGTGGGGAAGACTGCCATGTAACTACATAGGTTTAAGATGCATGCAGTAATTGAAGTTATAAACATAATACAAAGAGGAGTGATTAACTTCAGGTACCCTAGAGCAGGAGAATGGGTGGGATGGCATTTAAAAGTGCTAGGTCAAAGAACAGAGTAGGCTTCTTATAACTAGTTGGGTGCTTCAGTAATCTAAATCTAAATCTCCCATTCCAGAATGACAAGAACCCTTTCCTGAATCTATCTAACTGCAACTGAAATTCTTTTAATCTTTTTTCAGTCCTCCTGTAGAAATTTAAAATATCTACTGATCCTTTATACATTCACTTTACATACTTAAATCCTTGATGAGTGGAGACAAGGAAGGTGATTCCTACTAAGGTTCTCCTAATTATGCTTTTATACTTCCTGTATTAAAGTGAGCCACTTTCTTATGTTCTATGTACACAGGTTTGGTTTTTTTGTTTTTTGTTTTTGTTCTTTTGTTTTTTGGGTTGTTTTTTTTTTTTTTTTTTTTTTTTTTTTTTTTTTTTGGTTTAATTCCTTGCAAAGTTCCTGGGAAGTTGACCTTTACATACAAATAACAGAAACACAAAGTGTCATTTTTCCCAAATCTAGAAATTTAATGAATGACATAATGGAATTTATATTCACATCAGTTGGTTTACAAAACTTATGTATTGTCCCTGTTTTATAACTTCTTGTTTCCAAAAAGAAAATCAATCTTGGTTTTATAAAAAATGACAGTTATCTTCCCTGTAAACCACTTTTTACTAACATGCTTCAGGCTTCCTAGATTGTTTAGCGAAAATCTCAAATCTCTTAGCAATAGCTCTTAAACATCACAACTAATACTTAAACTATTGGGTCTTCTACTTTTGCCAAAATATGACCATACTGGTTCTATTTAATTTCAAGAATGTGTTTTATTTCTATAAAATCTACCTTTGTACACCTAAGAATAATCTTACCTCTACCTAATCTCATCACTGCATTGAAAACTGGCAATTCCTTTAAATATTGCTTTTGAATAAGGAATTTATTTTTTGTCGGTTCAAAATTTGTTGAAAAACTATTTACTTAGGTGTTTGCTTTTATTGTTTATTAGGGTAATGTCTATCCAGTTATAAACATTGGTGAAAAAATAGTAAGAGATCCTAGTTCCCTGAATTGCTTACTAAAAAAGCAGTATAATGTCTGAGTATATATCATGTTTCTTGTGGAGAAAACACTTATGTAAATGAACTTTTACAATACTTTCCTAAATAAAGTCATTATTGAGAATTTTAAAAATACATTAATTAAATGACTTTTTTTCATAAATGGAAGAAAGAGTAACCTCAAAAATAGCATTGATGAAACAGTCTCACTATTTCAATTCAGTAAAACTATTTGAAATGAACAGAGATATAAGCTTTGAGTCAAACTTCTCTCCTGGGGGTTTATTTTGTCAGCTGATTTACAAAGGAGATAAACCATGTACAGAAAATAACTTTGCACATATGAAAACCCAAGTATATAGTCAATACACTTCATTAAGCACCAGCTAGACGCTGGGGTGACAATGAAAGTCAGGATATAAAAATGGTGAAATAATTATCACAAGTCTCTTAGAACTAAATCTGTCTTTCATAATTTTGAGTGAATGAGTTGACCAGATTTTCAAAACAATACAGTCTCCACTCTAGAAGATCTCCATTTAAGGGAATATAGACAAATCTGTTGAAAAGGGGGACTGAGAGAAGATGAGAGGAAGAAGAAAAGCTTACACTGGAGAAGAAAATGGTACCAAGTATTCTAACTCACTTCTATTATCCCCTTGCTTCCAGTGCCCACCTGTCTTCAGAGGCCACCCCAATTAACCACCACACAATGAAGCCTCTCTGGATGGCTGGATTCCTCACTTCTTCCCTTTATTTTATAAATACCTTTCACACTTTGTCCATACAATATATACAGTCCTTCATACTCTCCTGGTTTGAATTTCTAATGCTTGTTGTATTCATCTTACCATCCAAGTTAGAGTTTGTAAAGTACTGTTCATTGAGGGAAAGAATATATAACAGATTTGTTGAGTATCTTAGTATTTATTACCAGTCTTATATACTTTATATACTGATTTTAGTTTGTTTCCATTGAAGAGATAATCAAAGAGCCTATACTGAAATGTAATAGTCTTCACTAATGTGAATACATCATAAACATGAAAATGGAAATTAATTAGAAAAGCTGAAATTTTAATATAACTCTACATAGATGTAGATTATCATTGTTACTGCCTTCAAAATTGAACTATTTTAGATATATTTTTAATATCAAGTCTACTTTCATGTATTTACTTCTATCAAAAGTATGTGCTGTACTTTCCTGAGCTCAGAAAACAGTAATGACTTGCAAAGTATATCTGTTTCATATACCATGTAGAAGAAAAATGAAGAATGGGAATTAATAGTTATAGTGAGCCTAGGGAAAAGCCTGTTAACATTTTCCAAACTAAATGTATTCTTTTAAAAAGCTTTTTAACAAATAGCGTTTAAAGTATGTTAAATATAATAAGGCCCTTGGGAACTGTAGGAATAGAATATGGAACCTTGAAATTCCAAATTGTATTTAGCAAAGCCAATTGCAGTTTTATCCAGCTCATAAATCATTAATGACTAAGATGCTATTCTTAGTTCAGTTTGGGGGAGCCTATGGCTTTATTGTGATGACCTATAGAGTCAGAGTTTATGGTCCTTCATGTTTAGGTATAGCAATCACTTGCTTTTAAAAAATATCAAAGTTGCTTTCCCAGAAAAAGAATTTTATTTTTAGTGTTACTTAAGGTTTCTTCAGGATGACATTTATGCTCATTAATATTATTAGATTATCTGATATATAAGGAAAGTTACTAATTTTATTGAAAATAATTATTGAGACCTGAACGAATATAATAGAATGACCCTAAATGCGAGTGCACACGTATACACACACACATGTACAGACACCCACTGTTTGGATGCCTTGGATCTGACAGATCTAAGCTGCTATGACTTTCTAAGGTGGATAGCAACTCCACCTTTAAAGATGAGTTAGAAGAGTAAGTAAGTGCATACATTTTAGTTATCTCATGCTCTATCAACTTTGTTACTCTGAAAATGAATTCTTTTTCCAAATGATAAGAGTTTTAGGTTGTTCCATTTTGGAGAGGCAGTTTGGGCTATGCTTGCCTGCAGTCTCTGTGGTCTTGTCTTTCTTTTTAGTTCTTCCTCTGAGTAAAAACTTTAATGATCTAGTTAGCATGATACTGCTGTCTTTCAGGACTGAGAAAAATCCATGAGGTTTATTTGTAGTTCTCAAATTGGTCATATTCACAAAAGAATCTCATGGGAATTTGGGCTTATGGGTTTTGTTTTCTTTGCCATATTTGCTTGCATACTAATAGGATCAGCTAACAAATTAAGGAGTTTGTTTTATGTGTATAAACTAAAGTTAATCATGAGCTATGACCTTTGTAAATCATAGCTGCAAACACAATGGAAGACTATAATGAATATGTTTGTTACCATTAGATAAGCATGAGAAACAATGAAAAGAAATTTGAAACACTCATCAGTGGGTATTTTTGAAACTATCAAAGGCTGATAAAAACCTAAGGAATTAAAAATCACTTGACAAAGCTTAAGGAAGTCCAGTCTGTAAATCTATAATTTCTGCAAAGGGGTGTTTGTATGCCTTTATGTTTTGAATCACTTTTCTACCCTACCTTTTGTCCATTTGAAAGAGATTTCTGATTTTTTTTCTGCTTAAAGCTCTGGGTAATTTTTATGGAAGAGTCTTGAAATGCTGACTAGACAGACAGATTGATGGCTCTGTCACCAGCTGAAATTGAGATAGAATTTGTTCCCTAGCTACAGTTAGTATGGTGTTTTGTTTTGTTTTGCTTTGGTTTTTTTTTTTGTTTGTTTTTTTGGGGTGTGTGTGTGTGTGTGTGTGTGTGTGTGTGTGTGTGTGTTTTCTTGATTATATCCTAAATTCCTCAGTTTGAGTAAGCACCCTTTCCACTTACATTTCAAATTCAGTTTATTTTGATTCATAATACATAGTCAACATTTTTCAAAAATATTTTAGAATAATTCTGCTATTTTTGGAGCAGTGGTGAGCAAATCTTTTTAGTTAGGAGTCAGGTAGCAAATATTTTAGACATGTGAGCTATAATGACCTCTGTCCCATTTACTTAGTTCTGCTGTTGGAGCATGAAAGGAGCCAGACAATATCTAAACAAATGAGTGTGGCTCCGCAATGAAATTTTATTTACAAAAATAGGTGGCAGGCCAGATTTGGATTCTGGGCTATAGAGTTAGTCAATCCCTATATAGTAAACAGAATCATGCCCCCTCCCAAAATGCCCATGTCCTAACCTCCAGAGCCAGTTATGTTACATGTCAAAAGAGATTTTGCATATGTGAATAAAGGTAAGGACATTGAGATGGGGAAATTATCTTGGATTATCTGGGTAGGTCTAATTTATCACATGAACCATTAAAAGTGGTTTTCCCTATGGCTATGGTCAGAAATGCAGCATACTAAAAACTCAACTACCATTACTGACTTTGACAATGAATGAAGAGGGCCTCAAGCCAATGGGTACAGGCAGCCTGTAAAAGCTGAAAACAACCTCTGGTTGCTAACCAGGAAGGAAATGTAGACCTC